ACCAGTGATCAGTTGGAGAGGGCAATAGAAAAGGCCCATGAAAATTATAGCAAGCATCTTGTGGTGTCTGCTCTTAAGCAGTTTAGGTTTAAAATGGTTCACCTAAACAATCAGGGGTAAAATTTGGATATACCCCATGCACAATACCAGTCCAAACAAACCTAGGGATACACCACAGCATATTCTATTAAGGTTCCCTTCACATGGACAGTCCGATCAGATCCACCGGTCAATTTTTCAGGCGGATCTAATCAGAAGACCAATGTAACCTGATGTACTGTAGCCTGATGTAAATGTAACCCTAACTCTGTCTGGGTCCAGAAACCCCCCCCAAAAACAAACAGTACCGTCAGAGGTCTGCCAAAACGGATGAGGGGTAATGTGATGTAAACAAGAACATGTCCACTCACATCAGATTCCCCAGAGACCTAACATGGGTCCATACAGCTCAGTTTTTAACTCCATTGTAAAAAGGAGGAAAAGACTGAATGAGCACAGATGTCACAAGAGTGACATGCATTACATACAGCTCCTGATCGTAATGGCTGCCGCCCTCACTCTGTGAACGGGACCTTATTCCGTCATCACAGATCCGAAAATGCACAACGTTTCGGGCAAAGTTACCGCTTTAACTCTTCATCAGGTGCCTAACACACTGAACAACCCATCAACTACAGCGCATAGCTAAGGATGTTGCATTGGACACACCTGGAAGTGTAGGACACCAGTGGAAGCTGTAGCTCTGCACGAAAGTGAAGAGTGTAGTTGCCGGCCATCACGCTTCCTTTATAGGTGGCTTGTTCATTATTTTGACCAAGTGTCAAAATTACTTTAATGGCATTTGCTCAGTTAACCAACATATGGCATATATGTTATTTTCATTACCTTACTAAGGATTTTTTCACAGAAATAGGCCAAGTTTACTGCTCACGTGTTATATTATCGACTTTTATAGCATTTTGTATTTAAAAGTAATACAAAATTTAAAAATTCACAAAAAATTACTTTTTGTTTTCCCCGCAATGGAAAGGCTAATTACACACTAACCTTACAGCTTCTCTTTTCCATGATGTATCAGAGCTACCACTAGAGATACTTCATTAAAGCCTCTGCTCAGATTCAAACCTAATCTGAATGTGATGAGTGGGTGTAGGAAAATAACTAATGGTCTTAGCAATGAATTTCTGATACATCAGGCCAAATGTGTTGGAGCCTAATCTAATTTTTATTTTTTTATTACAGGCATTTACACAGCGCCTGCAATTTACATAGCACCATACATTCTGTACATTCACATCAGTCAGTCCCCTATTACATCATCATCATGCTTGACAGCTGGATTTATATAGAGGAAGGCCCTGGCACCAAGAGGCCTGGCACAGAAAGGCCATCAATTTCACCAAACCGATAATATAGAGTTAAACTAGGTGGCCCTTTTGGAGAGAAATAAAAATGATGTCTTTAAAAAAAAAGACAGACACACTGTCCGTCATTAAAAACGGGTTAAGTTCATTTTGCCTTAGTTAGGATATTACCAAAAAAATCCTGGCAGTATGGTGGTCAATTTACAAATGTATAAAATACTATACAAAACATTTGTACAAATTAAACTATGCTTTTTGGTTACAGAAATATGTACAAATGAGCCTGACTCTTTCATCCGATATAGGTAATTTAAAAACAAAAATATTTAAAAGGACCATTAAACTTGAAATTAATTTGTCTCATAATAATATATATTATTTGTCTAATATACAGTACATATTTATATAATTTGTGGTCAGCATATTATTATTATTATACAGGATTTTTATAGCACCAACAGTTTGTGCAGCGCTTCAGCATATTCACAAAAATATTTTATTTTAACATTTAATTGAGTTTAAGAACTAACCGTCCTACAGAAGTGAATATAGTTAACACTGTATGGCTATTTTCTGCAAAGCTAAAAAGTAGTCTATTATTTAATGTTACCAGCCATATTAGGCTGGTTAAGATCTGATAAAAATATTGCTTAATGGGGCCACTTTGAACTGAAAATGCTGCAATTATAACTTTTACAGACCAAGTCTGCTTAAAGCTAATATTTCAGTACTGAGTGGCCACAAATAGGTTAAATTGCCAACTGAATTTGTAAATCTTCCAGGATCTCCTGAGTACACAGATCTGCCACACAACTCCGGACTCTTATAGTGTCGTCAGATATAAAATGCTTGCAATTTAATCCAGATATGTATTCATTAAAAACTGAAATGCATCTTTAAATAGTACATCAAACTACCTTCACACTAGTCTCTTCTTGTAATTTTCCGCACATATTTGCAATGCAAATCTATGTAGGCTTTACTGCATTAGACAGCACTTTAAATATTAAAGGAGAACTATGAGGTGAGTGCTTTTCACTCATCCTCATAGTTCTAGCTGACCTGTGACAAACAGGTCGGCTCAGTAGATCGTATAGTGAGCGAACACATACTGGCGTTCGCTCACTTCTCGATCCTGTCACGGCTCTCTGCCGTGATAGGGGAGGGACTGAATTCCCCCCTCCCCTGTCCGATCCTCCAGCGCTGACTGGCGGAATGGACGGGGGAGGGGGGCGGTACAGCTGGCTCTGCCTCTAAAAAGGCAGAGCCAGCTTTCACTCACTCAGCGGGGCGGATACAGACATAATTGTCGGGATCCGTTTCAGCTGCTGCGTCTCAGTATTCCACGAGCAGTAGCTCGCGGTATACTGAGCTTAGGGTGACGGGAGGACGCTAGTTTGTGTCCTCCCGTTACCCTAAAGAGAACTATGGGGAAAAGCCCTAACCCCATAGTTCTCCTTTAACAAGCAGAACCCGCTGAATGGAGAAGAGAGCACTAGAGTGTTGACTCTAGTAGAGAAAAGTAAATGGTCAGGACTTTGATAATGTTTGGCAGGAGTGGCTGGATTATAAAGCTACCTAAACAAATTTGCAATACTTTAAAGACAGTAAAGGCAGTTTTTACATATATATTTCCACTTTGCATTTTGTTGTCTGCCTACACCAGAGGTGCCCATTAGGTCGATTGCGATCTACCAGTCGATCGCAAAGCAAACACTGGTAGATCGCGATCAGCTCACTGACCTGTGTCCTGTCCTCCCGTGGTGCTCGTGCGGCTGAATGTGTCAGACGCCGCAGACGGGAATGGGCCGGACACCTCTCCCCTTGTGCAATGTTGGTCACACGAGCACTGCGGGAGGACAGGATGCCGGCGCACAAAAGGAGACCTGGGTAGCTGCTACAGTGGAGATAAGAAAAGACAGACAGCAGAGAGACAGGAGAGAAAGTGAAAGAAGAGACAGCAGATAGAAAGCGGGAGAGAGCGAGGAGAGACAGCCAAGAGAGAGGGACGGTTCACACCACAAAATTTGTGTTCCAGAGTGTTCGGCCTTCAGAACGCACTGGAACGCAAGCCAGCCGGCTACCTGTGTTCAGGGGCGTGGTGGTCCACTGAAGTCAATGGCACCGCAGCCACGCCCTCCGCCCGCACCCAGAACGCAGGCACAGTGCCTGCTTTCCGGTCCAGTGCGATCTGCATAAATAGTGCTCGCAGCATTTTTGCAGATCGCACTGGACTGGAACGCAGGCACTAATGCCTACGTTCCAGTCCAGTGGAGTCTAGTAGAGGTGTCAAGCTACCGTACAGATGCAAGTGCAAACTTTCTACTTGTTTGACCCATTACAGCCTTTTAAGATACCATGCTATAAAGAGATCTTGCTTGTGTTTCCCCTCCTCTTTGTTTTTTTTCTCTCCAAACGGTATAGGGAACCAGGGAACTAGCATTTTCAGAAAAAATATATCTTCCATGGCAGGCTAGATATTTTTCTTAGTGCAGGTTGCCTTTAATATCCCATATTCCAAAAGAAAGGAAGGTGAGATCCCAGGTTTGGAGATGGAGGAGCTCCTCCATTTCCAAACCTGTCAACTCTATTTATTACAGCATTTAATGAATTGCCACTTTGATGTTCAATTCTTGATGTTTACAACAATATTATATCAACCACTACCTAATGCATATATATTTTTTTTGTTTATATGTTAAAATCATGTACTAATTAAGGTTTATATGGAGTGAGCATACAGGGAGCTATCCATCTAGCTGATTTTTTATGGATCTTTGATCCAGTTTTCTTAAAAATTATTACAATTAAAATCAACTTTTTATATGGATTCTTGTTTCGTGGGATTGTCTTTTGGTGCCTACAAAACCCCACTTTCTTTTCTTGCTAGTCCAAAAGAATCATCAATAAGGTTTGCCTTCGACATGCTCAAATTGTTAATTCTAGATGCCGTTTATCATGAGATAAATGTACCAAAGCCTTACACACTTTACTTTGCAAATTTGAAACATTGTTTCTAATATTTAAAAATGCTTTTACAAAATGCTAGCTGGCTGTTACACTAACCCACTGTCTTTAATACTTTCTGACCTGGCACGAATATGCAAATGAGGAAAGTCAAACCCTCATCTGCATAATCATTCCGTGTCAGTGACCTGAACTCAACTACCAAAGTGAGAGGGTAGACATGACAGCCAAGCCACTAAAAGTTCCAGACAGAAAGCAATGACATCTTCCAATTTTCTCCCATGAAAAGTTTCCTTTAGGAAGAATCCAAGGCAAATTATTTTCTACTGATAATAGTGAAACTTCATAAAGTTATGAGCTACCTGTAATTTGTTGACTGAAGCTTTAGAGTTCGAATGCACCATCATAAATCCTGCTCTAATACATACATTGCTCCAATTGTGCATGTATTTACTATACAGTTAAAAATACTAAAATCCCTTACTGCGAATACATAACAGAGGAGCAATATTAAAAACATAGCAAAGTCTTCTGACTCTGAGGAAAGATATTGGTAACCAAATTAGTTTAGTCCAGTTACAAAAATACCTTCCCATAATCTGCAACATATAAAAATTCTAGGAATTATGAAAATCAATAGTTTTAGAAAACTAAGGACCTTCGTTATACCTTTTTATCAGTATTATTCAATTTGTGTTTTGCTTCCTTTGCTTTCTGGATTGCTTTTAGTACTTCTACCGTGTCCAGTTCTTTTTCTGTTGTAGCAGTGTTGTCCAAACAAATCTAAATAAAAGAGTGCTAAAATATTAGTTCAAATGAAATTTCACCAGGCAAGAATAGCATATCTGATCCAGTAGCCTCAGAGTTGCTATTACACGGCTGAAAGTCAAAGTTGATCAGCAAGGGTCCAAATGGGGCAATCCCAGACATTTAACACTGGATCACCAATAACAAGGTTTTCCAGGTGGTAGCTTTGGATAGCTCCTAAAAATAAAGCCAATGATATTATGCCAAACAACATGTCAATATTTATAGAAGTGTATTAGAATGTAATGGAATATAAAACAGGCAGGCCTAGGGTAAAACCACATATGAGGTCACCGTAAAGTTCTTCCAATGCTGCTTCCGTTGTTCCTATTTGCTAAGGATGTGCCACTCAAGTCAGATGTCTGACACCTAAATTTTAACAAGTGAAAACTAACAGGGAAATTAACCGAGAATTTAAAGTGTATGTAAACCCTAACAATGAACTTTTCGTTCCCTTGCTCCCTTGTGCTCTGTTAAATAAACCACTGAAAGTTTTGTTAAACATATATGCTGATCCTGCCAGAAAACCAGTGCTGTCCTGTGCACATTTCCTGTGTTACATCAAGGAGTGCTACCATCCTTGCCCAGTTCCCCTCTGTGAACTAAATACTCCCCCTCCCCATATTATGATAAGGAGAGAGGGAGATGTTCTGTAGCCCTAAAACACTTCTTGTCATATGATGACAACGATCCTTATA